CCGCTCGGAGTGCTCACCGCTGTCAGCGGAATGTCACTCGCTCTCATGAGCAATTGGTCATACCCATCCATCAAGTCGAGTGCACTGTACTTCGTACATCCCACCATGTTATTCTGAAGAACATCCTTTCTAGGAATCGGCGACTGTGCCGGAATGGTGGCCGCGTTGAGCTTATTGTAAGCATGAACGATACGCCACTTGCCGTTCGGCTTCCGAACACAAAACGTGGGTGTCGAATGGGGAGACTTGCTCTGACGTACCATCCCTGCGTCGTGCTTCGCACGGAAAAAGGCGTCAATGACGTCGCACTGCTCCTTGGCAGGGGCCATTGGCGTGCTACACAGTATTTGATTTCTGGAATCAGGTCGATCTCATGACGCACACCTCGGTCCGGATGTAGGACTGGAGGCGGGTCTTTGGAGACGACATCCTGAAATTCTTTTGTCAAAAGATAGTACGGATCCAAGGGATTCCGTAGGGTTCGACGATCCACTTCGTGGGTTCAGCACTCTCTTGGTGTCCTTCAAGACAGCTTCATCCAGAAGCGATGATGAGTCTATCTCCTCGTCCGGTCGTCAATGACTACTTCGGCCAAATCGCCTGCCTCCAAGGCACTGTCAAACTCTTCAAGGGACATCTCCTCCAGCTCAAAAAGAGCATCTACTGCAACATAGCCTGGAGGCGGACATCGCCATCTTCCTCCCCCGTCATACCATTGACGAGAATGTATAACTGTGCGTTATCGTCTGCGGTAGACACACTGGATCAGGGTCGACATCCGGCGTCTACAGCCAGCATACGGCGTCGCCGTCGCCTCTGTACAGAGGTTCTATGTCTCGATGGGACCAGGGTGAATACGCATTTCGCGTCGTTTGATGTCACCCTTACTTCTGCTCCTTCGGAGCTCCGATGTTATCTACAACATCCGACGAAGAGCTGCTAACCCCGCAGCCTTCGTCCAGTGGATACCGTGCCACTCCATGCGCACCTGAAGGGCCGTGCCCAAGATGCCTCGGACTCTGTCCGACCACGCCATCAATAGCATGCAGCGACTGCTTCGCAACGAGAGCAGTGCTCCGTGGTTTACGTGCTACATCACGTGCATCACTGGGGCCTCGCTCTCGATGCCTCGACCCATATCCGACCATGTCACGCATGACAAGCATCGACTGCTCCGAAACTTGAGCAGCGCTCAGTGGGCTGCGTGCCACTCCACGATCAGCCCGCGAGCCACGCTCGGGACTCCTGTCCAATACACCGTTGGTGTCTACCAACTCGGACATTCCAATGTCCAGCAACGTTGACCGTCTCGGTCCAGTGCTCTCACCAAAGAAAGCTCCACCTGGAGACGTGCGCGTAGCGCCCAAGGTCTTTGCCTAAAATAAATCCATGGCTCATGGTGTTCCAACCATGCCAATCCTAGGATGAGGTCATACCTTGCATCCAAGTCTAGGGATAGACAGCGTTCCACGCTATCAAAGTCAAGGTACTTGACTTCGAGTTCAACAGGGACCTTCGAGACCTGTTCAACGTGTCCCCGTCGCTAGGCCAACAGTGACGATATCACCCATGCGCGCTTTCAGCGCCTCAGCATACCGCTGACTTCCTTTCAATGTGAAACATTGGGCATAATTGCCCGACGCCCCGGAACCGATGAGAATATTCCATGGCTTCTCGCAGCCCTTTACGGTCGCCTCCACGACCAGCAAGCCCGGCTTGCATACACGTTCCGTTGATCAGGCTGGACCCTGCTGACCTATGTCTCCCTGAGACTCAACAAAACTCAATTCTTCCCCAGTAGGTCGCCCCGCGCCTACTGAGTGGTGTCGTTTTCCCGCGACGAACCAGACGGGTAGGCGTTAGAGCGATGGATCGAAGAACCTTGGTGCGCCATGCGCAGGGGGCAACCGTTCCGAAGGTGACGGGTGTCTCCACAGACAAAACACCGTCGTGTGTTTGTGTGCTGCCCGATAGCTCGAAGATCTGCTCCCAGGTCCTCAGCATAGCTGAGATCCATGGGCATGGGCCCGCTTGACGAGCTGTTGGGGTGTGCGTCCAACCAAGTCGTGCCGACTTGAAATTGAAGTCGGCATTCAGTGCCACATTCACCGCCTCTTCAAATGAAGATGGATGCACACGGAAGACTTCCATTCTGGCCACGCCAGTGCGGAGGCCGTCCATAAACACTGTCACTGTGATCGCCTCCGGAAGGGGATCTGCTGTCATCCCAGCAATGAGTGTACACGTCTCTTGGACAAAGTCAACCAATTTTTGTTGCCCTGTCGGGCGGCAAGAAAACGCGCTCGCACGCGATATGCCTGTTTAAGTGGCGAGAACACTCGGGAGAGATGCAATTCCAGCTCCGCCCAGGAGGTACAAGCAGCTCCGACCGAAGTGCCGCACGTCTGCCCATTCTCGCGCTCGACCATCAAGCTTTGAGATGGCGAGCGTCACGCGCTGTTGCCCGGTCTGGAGCATGGCGGATGCGATGACCATCTCGACCTTTCTCGCCTAATGTGAAGATTCTCTCCATCCTTCCCCTCACAAAGACCTTAACGCTCACCATGAGCGGCTTAGGGCGGGGAAATCATCCGTCACTGACAGTGGCGTCACAGACGCAAATGGTGCAGACATCTTCTGCTGCAGGTGCTCTAGCAGCGTGTTTTCGTAATTTGAAAACGCCTCTAGACGCGAATCGATTGCCTCGGGGCCTTGCGCAGCAAGGTGTTGCACGCCCTCAGGGCCAAGCAAGGACATCAGCATTTTAAGCCCGTCCTGCATGCCCTTGGGCAAAAGGAAAATTCCTTTATCCTCACTGAGGATCAGTTGTAACGACTTAGGTGTAGATTGACCACAAGTGCTACCAAGTGCAGCGGGATTGCCGTAGCTTTGCGCTTGAGGAAGCGTAATTTAGGTCACCGACCTTTCGTTCTATACTTATAACAAGTACGAGTTTAGCGGATCGCAATCCGCTTACTCCAAGACTAATTATAATCTTAACCCAAGGCTATTGAACTCTTCCCTTTGAAAATATGTAAAACTGACTTTATTTATTTCTATCCGCGGCATAGCCGCCTAATTTTAAATTCATAGATTTTCCTGAATATGTATAGCAAAATCTAAATACATGTACAGTAAAACCTGTCTAAATTAAACATGTTGGGAATAGGGGATAGTGTTTAATTTGGAGAGGGTTTTAAATTTAACAGGTTTTATTTAGACAGGTTCAACTGTATGGTGCCTAACATGGGTCCATATCTTTTGTTTTATTTAGAGAGGGTTTCAAATTAAACAGGTTTAATTTAGACAGGTTCTACTGTATAACTACTGGCTATCCAGCCCCGTACCGTATTCTTGTTTGGGTGTGGTCACACCAAGTTCATCCAATGTGACACACACCCCTGTTACCAGGTATGTGTAACCCCGTTACAGAAACTACACCAGATTCGCACTCACACGTTTAAGTGTCGCTTCAGCACTTCGTAATAATGAGTGTGAAAAAGTCATATTTGGGGAATCTACCTTACATTTTATAAATTGTACGGAATTCACTTTATAGGTAGTGTTATTATTGTAAATATTCATAGGTATTGAAATACCGGTATTTGCAGAAATTACGAAAAGCTGTTGGAAAAATGGAAAACTCCTGGCCGTTCTGTCAGTGAATAAGCAAGCGATTTGATTCATCACAAATTTCACACATTAAACCTGTTGACATTGCTAGGGAGAAGTGTAGCTACGTGGCTATTGTCATTATGATTGAGGTTTGCAATAAGTATGGTGCTCTTTGGTTACTGAAATGAGTCGGTGCTTCGAGAGCCAAGTCTTCAGGCATTTTCGAGCGAAACGGGCTCAGACCAAGATTCAGTCGGCGACGCAATCCATGGGAACCTGGAAACATTCCATGAGTGGTATAACCTGGTACCATTCATGTCTCTGTCCTTAGAATCAGGTCAGGTTGGTATGATATTCGGTTCTGAATGAGCTGCATATATTTAAATGCAAGTTACGCATTTCAAAAGATCTCATAACATGTGCATTCTAATAGCACCTCCGTCTGTGAAAATGTCTCAACGAAAATGCTGTAAATTGATGAGTTTCGCACAGCCTAGACCAGGCCTCACCCATACGTACTCAGCAAAATTCAGGGTATAAGTACTTCCATTAAGCGATTAGCTGTACACACACACTTCTAACCACTCGAGGATCTATTCTATAGCTACCCAGCCCAGGAAGTACAATGCGCTTGAGCACAATACTTTTCATCACAGCTATTACAATTTCCAGCGCCTTACAGCTACCGCCCAACACAATGTCGGAGCAAGGAGCTCAGAAAATCGAGCCCGCAATCAACAAACACCTTTCAGACACATCAAGTTTTAACGAGTTCGAACTTCCACGTGCACACTTTAGTGCAATTTTTAATTTTCTGAAGAAATTCGCTGCGAAGTAATAAACAATAAAACCAATAGTTACAATACAATCTCATAAGTGTGTTCTATCTAACCTACCGATACTAATAACGTTCAGAACACTCGCCATTTTATCGATTGGATGGCGGCGCTGTCAAATAGACGACCAAGATGCAATCCAATTACTATTTGCACAGATTTGTCAAAGAATGCATCGTATCATCGACTCAGCGTGACGATACATTGACTTATTTCGTCATCAGCGATTGCCCACTTTGATATTCTTCCTTAGTATCAACAACACTTTGACGTCGAAGTGGTATTGCTCTCCAAGAGCCCTGTCTATAGAAGAAGGCTTAGACTCAATGGCTAATTGTGATCCGAACTTCGAATTAGCCATTTGTCAAGGTAGCCATTTGTTCATCAAGGGATATTGAGTTTGACATTAATAGTGACAGCCAATTACTTTTAGGGGGCTTACCACTGGAATTACCTTTATCTCAACAAACGCTTGTCCGCGAAGTGTCGTGGTAGACGTCAATTTGAGTTTGTACTTCATGCATGGACGTCAACCCACATGTACAAGGCATTGTTTCGATGTATTTAAACGTTTCGTTATTGGGAATCTAATCGAACAGGGAGAACGCCCCAATGTTTGCTTGATGTGCATATTCAGGTCTTTGTTTGCTTCAAAGTTAATAACAATCGATAGAATATCTGACTACCTCAATCAGCTGAAAATGCTTTGGTTGTCCCTTCCGCAACAGTATAAGATGCTGGAAGGATGGATGGAAATTTTCGAGGACCTTGTATATCGAACAGCCTGAGCGTAGCATATTGACAAGCTTGTCGTTGTACAATTTGTGGACTTTCAGACTGAGACCTGTACTTTTGATCCAAATGACAAAAAACTAAACTGTCCGTAAAGAAGCAAGAACGTCAGGTAACTCGCGGCCAGGAATGTACAGACGTGCCGGCATGATGTGTTTGTGTACTCGACCCTTAAAGGCAAAAAACTTAGGCACTGGTTGGTGGTTCTAGCAATGCATAATCTAGATTCGTTTCAATTAGCGTCTGCACGTAAGAAGCCAGAGAAGCAAACGTCATATTCCACTAAGCTACTGCGCAAGGTTGAAGATTGTTGTCTACGCCCAATTTTTACTTGCTCAGATATGCTTTTAGCCGCAACGCTACTAGTTTCGAGAAATGGAAAGTGATAGTGTGACCTCTTCGTCAAGCACAAGTTGTATGTTTCAAATGGCAGCTAAACTTGCGTTTGTGTGAATGACAGCGGACGCTGATAAAGTGTATTCAAATCATAGAAAATGTCAAAACTTTGTATCTGTGTCTTCACTTATTTACAAAAATACGGCGGTCGCTGTGGCCAGGAAGACTCCTAAGGAGACAGCAGTGACACTAGCGCCACTTGTGGTGGCAGGAGGGGCTGTTGGTGTCGATGTGGAAGTCGCGTCATCTGTGGTGCTATTACTGCTTTCATTGGTAGAGCGGGGAGTGGACGACAATGACCCATCATCACAGACATCGTTGAGCGGCGTAATCAAGTCAGCGTATAGAGAGAACGTGCCCACAGTACACTCCGATGGGGCAGCCGTCTGGGCTTCTGACAGCAGCGACATACAGGCGTCGCTAGCGCACATTCTGGCCAATTCAGCGGTCGTGGGTGTGGTTAGACTTGTTGCGGTGAAATTAGATTGATTCATACAAGCGGCCGCATTTGGGGAGGTGATGATCAACTGCAGAGCCGCCGTGTCACATGTGGCAGCGTTCGTTGTGGCGGCTAATGCAGCAAAGGAGACGAAGACGAAAATATTCATGGCTTGAAGGAGTTGGAAAAAGTGAAGTACTTGAATGTCGGCATCGGGTGGCTAGCATAACTCTATACTGTAGCCAGAATCCGGATTATCGATCTCAATTTCTTTTCAAAAGCTGGTCGGTCTATACCATACGCATCTATACCATCCACTGTTCTATGTGCAAACTTTCATGATTATTAAATCAAGATTAAAGCATCCTGGAGCAAACAGGACACACTTAGAGGCATGTTACTGTATGTGTAATGAATGAATCAATGTGGAAGGTTCACCAAAGTCTGTGGGTTATATGACGCGGAAAGTAATGTAATCTTGTGTACATATTGGTACAATTGCATAAACGCGTTGTCCTTGTCGGCATAGTCGAGTGACCTAGCTCACGACAAGCGCAACTTTATCATGAAGAATGTCTTTGTCTAATTTATAGAACACTTGCTTAGTTGAACAACATTTGGCATCAACTGCTTCCCTTACATATAGTAGCAATCTGGTTATCTTTCTTTGCCACACTAACTGCGTCTGACCCGAAGCGCCTGACCATTTGGCAGCATCACCACTGTGAAACACGACAACTCATAGTCAAATTCATGCGAAAATACATACACCACCCCGTTTTGTCGACCGATTCGAAAAAAAAGCAAAAAGTCAAGAAAGTCAGATGTCGCTTTATCAAAGCGCGCAAATGCACATTCGCACCGCTATTCCGGATCCCAAGGCCAGCATTATTACAGCACTAATTTTCTCGAAAGCAGACGTGTGACGGTACCTCATTATGACCTCGAGTACAGAATACTACACTAGGCATAGTACCCATAGTACCCCTTTGGGTTTGCTGCCACGTACGAGAAAATTCATAATGCATAGTGACGCTAAGAACTTACGGTCCACAGGGAAGCAAAAATGTGCGCACGTGTAAAACGTGTTGAAGCTTAAGCCCGCGTCATATACTTCGGTGACATTAGCCAGTCTTCCAGTTCTGGCACAATTTTGGCAGTCTGTGTAACGGGGTTACACGTATCCTGGAAATAGGGGGGGGTGTCATACGAGATGTGCATGGTGTAACTGTAGCCAAACAAGAATACGGTATGTGGCCAGGTAGCCAGTAGTTATGCATGTATTTAGATGTTACTATATTTATTTAGGACATTCTAAACATTTAAAATTAGGCGGCTTTACCGCACATAAAAATAAATAAAAATTAGTTTTGAAGTTAAACCGAAAATGATTTTAGCCTTGGAAAGTACTAACTACTCTTGGAGGTAGCGGATTGCGATCCGTTACACTCGTATTGGTTCTTGTAAAGAACGAAAGGTTGGTGACCTACTTCCTCAAGCGCTAAGCTACGGCGGCCCCGCTGCAGGATAATGTCATTTTATTTATCTAAAAGAGATAAACACCAATACCCGCGCTGATGTTTGGCTGGGCTGTTGCGGAAAACAGCCCTTCCTATCGCTTTTTCGCTATCAATTTAGATGGGATACGTCAAGCTATTTCTCGGCAAAAGTTTCCACAACGTGATTTGCCGTGTATCAAATCAGGATCCGCATTTCACAGAGAAGTTGTTTGTGAAGATTGGACAGTATACTCGCTGATCATTCACGCACAAATACGAATGGTCAGGCTGGTTAGGCCTATCGCGCGTGGTGACACTCTCTGAACAACTTGGGCAGATGGACCACAATGCTGAAGCAACTTTTCCAGCTGACCCCTTTAACGTGTACCTTCACGTTTGTTGCCACCAACATTTACTTCAACAAAATTACTTTGGCGTCGCTAATGCCTTTATCTGGTGCCTTTATACTTTTAATCTCCCATGACGAAGATGAAAAATGGCATGTCGCAATGCGTTTCCCATTTGACGGTAGATACTGACATTGACGCACGTTTAATACTTGGTCAGTAGCTGACAAAGTTGTCTTTCTGCTATTCTCTTTTCTTCTCTTCTCTATGAAGATGACGAGGCTTTTTACAGAAAGGACTTCGGGTGATTAGCATCCAGCCCAAAATCCTCATCGTTCGTTTGACTTCAAATATCGAGCGCTAAAAGACGCTTGAATCGTCCGTCTTCTTTCCTTAACTGACTTTTATAGCTGTCAAATGGATTAGACGATGCCTTGGTCGGGCACTTGTGCTGATGAAGGGAGAAGTGAAAGTAAAAAATATATTCAAGAAGTTTTAGCTGGATTTTACATGCACACTACGCGTTAAGCGCAAAGACACGCGGTCTCACAAGACACGCAGTCTCACAAAGGCACGCGCCTACGCCTGATATGAATGGCCCTAATGTCTACGCCTCATTCAATTGGTCTCAATAGAAAAACCAAGCCAGAATTTTTTAACATTGTCGACTTGACGCATCTGTGAAGGTCCACGGGGATCCAGTTTCCGTTCCGTAAGCTGGTTTTTCCATTTATAACAAACAGTCCCCCCTAGAGCCCCGAGTCACTCTATGTCGACGAGTCCGATCTTTTCTCGCAACACCTTCATTTGTGGCGCCGGCAGCGACTTCGTCACCTCGTCCACGAGCATTTCAGCGCTAGCAACATACTCTGACAACACGACGCCCTTCTTGGTATAGTCTTGGATGAAATTGATCTTGACGTCCCACTTTCACGATAGCCGCCCGGTTGTCCATCAGCATGCCCATAGGTAACTTGATGGCGATATCCAGCTCACCAAGTAGCTCTTGTGTACCCACTTTCGCTGCGTTGTACCCCGCCTCGTTGTCGATAGAGCTAAGGAACTCTGATTCTTGCACTGCCATGATACCGTCATACCGTTCACTTAGATGACAGCCGCGCTCACAGGCTTCCAGTCGTCCTTTTCAGTCGCAAAGTCAGCGTCAGTGTATGAGGGACGCAGCGGTAGTTCCTTGGCCTTGTCATCATCTGACATGCAGAGCTTGTGTGATCGAATGCTACCAAGCTACCGAGAGGTATGCTTAGCGAGCTTCCAGTCCGCCATCGTTGGTGCACGCGTTCGTCGTGTCGCACAATGTACAGCGAACATGGTGTCCGGGCGCGTGCGTCTCGCGACCCACAGCAAACTCCCAATAGCGATTGAAAACTAGTAAACATCGTTTCCACCGATGTTGTCTCCTTCGTCGCACGCGGAAGTAGCTTGGCCATATCAGCCTTTGCCGGGACTTCTTCATCGATCGGTGTGCCCACTGGATTCGCTTTCTCCAACTCAAACTTGGTGATCGTCTTCACAATAGCAACTTCTTGGTCGAGCTTGTAGCAATTGAGCCCATCGTACTGCTCGCGAGTTCTCAAAAAATGCTGACAACGCCGAGGTCTTTGAGCTCCAGCAAAGCCATGTCAGTGGAGAATTGAAAAACCCTGCTGTCGTTTGTACCGGTCACTATTAAATTGTCCACATATGTTCCGACAACCGTCATCCTATCGCTGTCAGCCTTGAACTACAAGCATGCATCCATAACACATTGGCTGAACCCAAGCTTGACCAATAAACGATGTAGGTGTTCATACCAGGGGCGACCTGTCTGCTTCAATTCGTACAGGCTCTGCCCGTGAAGCAGTTCAACTTTATCCACGATATCAGCTTCGAGGGCCTTAAGCTCTTCTTTCGTAATGACAAGTCCGTCGGGAACGAAATGAAATTTTGTACGCCCTCCTCCGTTGTTGCCTCTACACACACCACAATGTCTGACAGAAACGCCCCATATAAACGCTATGGCAAAGATGAACTTGGCATCAGTTATTGTAATCTCAGTCGCAAACACTAGGGAAAATTAATGCCGGGCGTCTGTTTGCTGCCGCAGGCGACAAGTCGAGCTTTGTACACCTCAATTTTTCCAGTACCCGTTCGCTTCTTCTTTTACACCCACTTAATATTCAAACAAACTGCACTAGGCTTGCACTTAGCGAGCTTTCACGTGCTGTTGGCTTGTAGGGCAGTGAGCTCATCCTGTTCAGCTGCCGCTCACCATGCACTCTCAGAACACTTGCGCGCCTGCTGATAGGTTTTCGGCTCCGGTTGATCTGCATGCGGGTTAACGTCATCGGCTTCGGAAACGGTCAGAGCTACAGGTCCACCGGGTACGTTTGGCTCACTTATATCCAAATCTCCATCAGTTCTGCACGGCGGCGTGACTTGCGCGCGGCCGACGAGATCTGCGGGTGTGCTTAATACCTCCATTGATGCCTTCGTCGGGGGCATTCGAGCAGCTGGTGTCTTGGCGCTTGTGTGTTCATATTCTTTGCGCATGGCGAATGACAATCACTTTTGCTTTCCGACGGCAAGTATACTTTGTTCCCCTTGGTCTTTTTGTCTTTCCAACAATGACGCTCTCACACACTTGTTCATGGCGCGCTTCCCTGGGTCACGAAACACAGAACACTTGGTTCTAAACACCACGTTGTCACGAAGGGTTGGCGCTTGACCAGTCAATATCTCGAGTGGTGACTTCCGATCCGCATTGGCACGTGACGAGCTCCGGTTCAGTACATACGTGGTGTACTCAACTGCGTCACTCAAGAATAGAAGGGGCAATTCTTTACCAAACACAGTGCACCGAGCCATGTCGAGGATTGTGCGGTACATCCGCTCCACTTTTCCATTTGCAGTTTGATTATTGACTTCAGACACTTGACGAACCGTTCCGTTTTCTTTGCAAAAGAGATTTACGTTTCGATATTCTCCTCCGCCATCCGTGCGGAGAATGTGTACTCGACAGCCAAACCATTTGTCGAATTCTACAAGAAAGTTATTTTCGGCATCCAGGTTTTACTTTCTTGCCATAGACATCTTGCAGTAGTTTGACTTGCGGTCCAAGACGTTGAGTATGTATCAATTACTTTGACGATCAAGCGGTGCCATCGAATTCCTCAGGTCACTAGGACTGGCTCCTCCGCTCTTGTCAATCGGTGCGTGCTTTCCGGTGTCCTCGGTCGGCTGTTTTGCCCAGTTTGCTTGCCCTCAGCACAAACCATAGGTTATTTCTCACGGTTCATTATCTTGATACCGGATGCAGGGTCCTCGCCATGCTCTCGATGGTGTCTAGCGCAAATGACCAAAATATGCGTGGAACCCCGTCAAACAATACGAGGCGACGACCGACGAGACTGTGTCCGTGCTCGAGTCCACCACATTCATGTTCAGCTCTGCCACATTCGTATTGTTCGCGGCAACTGACTTGAGGCTAGCCACAAGCACGTTGTGCTCCAGGTCAACGTAGAACACCAAGTGGTCACTCCTCGTCAACGCCAACTTTCCGTTGCGCTTGGTGAGAGAGCACCCTTTTGCAATCAAGAGTCCTCATAAATCAAGTTCTGCGCCATTCGGTGCATAGTAAACGCCACTGAGCTCTACCTCAGTCGTGAACAATCAACAATCGCGCGCAGAATCACCGATCCTTTCTTGGCCACATCCATCGTCCGCCCATCTGGCGACATGCAGATGTCCTCGACAGAACACCCCACTACGCTTGTCAGCAGCGCGGAGTCGCTGACGAGATGTCGGCTGACAAAGCTGTCCAGGATCCAGCTCTAAGCACTCACTGCCTGGGCGTCGCTGCCGCTAGCAGGTGTGAGCTTTTCCGACTTGTTCTTGTCGTTTCCAGTGGAGCGCGCCGGGCAGTTCTTCTTCGAGTGTCCAAATTCTTGCAGCCCTGGCATCGCCGCGTTTCCTCTTGTGTCTTTGAAACCGCAATTTTTTAACATGTTTCATTGCTCCGTCTTTATCAGACATAAACCCACCAAATCGTTTGCTTGATGAAGCAGAGCTGGTCGCGTGATGTCACACTTGGCCATTAAAGCTTGCCATAGTCCGGGTCCGCGTACTTGAAGATGATCCTAAGTAATAGCCTAGGTTTCGCGTTTGTTGCCATCATGAAATCATTCAAGGATAGGAAATGCTCATTCCACGATTGCAGCGGGTCCTTCTTGGCTTCAAACAGCTTCGCTTCCTGAGCATCCTTTTGAGCGACAAGTGCATCTGGTCCATCACGAGCCAAAGCGTCGGCTGTGAGGCCCACCAGCGCATGATGTGTTCCTGGTAGAAAAGCTCACCTTTGCCAAGTAGATGCTGATCGAAATCGTCTACCTTGAACCGTTCCGGCCAAGCGTAGCCACACGCCTGCCCCGCCATCTCGATCTGCTCGATAAAGAGCAGCGCCCAATGCTTGAAACCGCACCCAAGTCCTTGTAGACTGTACTGTCGTCGAAGTTGCGCATGTAGATCTTTGCGTCCTTGGCCGGCGGCGGTTGGTGTGCTTGAAACTGTGCAGTCGGTAGGTGGACTGGATACTGCAGTGGTGGTGGCGCTGGTCTTTGAGCCATGAATGGTACACCTCGCGCTTGATGTCTATTGCCAGGTCAACCATGTACGCCTGAGTCTGCGCACCCATGCCGAAGTTTGATGCGCCGATCCCATGTATCTCAAGTGATGCATATCCTGGCTGCCTCCTTGCTGCAATGCCTAAAGGTACAAGCTTTGACCAAGTCCGGCCACATGTCTGAGTGGCGTAATCGGCACGCCCTGCTGTTGCATCCCTAGCAAACGCTCGAAGCTGTCGACCTTGGCCGCGAGCTTGGTCATCAACTCCAGAAGTCCTCCAAGGTTCGGCGCGACTCTCTCTTCCTGTTATGCTGAAGAAGGTTAAGTAAAAGTGAGAAATATATTTTAGGAGTTTTAGCTGGGTTCTACATGCACGCTACACGTTAACCGCAAAGACACGCGCCTATGCCCGATATGAATGGTCCTGATGTGGACGCCTCATTCGGTTGGTCTCACTAGCGTCAGATCCTAGTCACAATTGTACCTTCAACATTGTCGACTCAACGCATTCGTAAAGGCCCACGGAGATCTGGCTCTCGGTCACCTGCACGTATGCTGGCTTTCCATCAATATCCAATACGATCTGTCTCCATCTCCCAGCACGCAATTTGAGCGCAAAAACCCGCTTTGGCACTCTTGCCAACATTCAGTTTACAAGGTGCAGCCCTCATGAAGAGCGCGAATTTTAAAGTACTCCTAATGATGTATGACCTGTAAGGCTAGGAGAAAGCTAGCGTAGCTACTTTTCGGTGCAATTTATCACTATGCGTGATCACGCATGATGCATGTGGGCCTTTCACTTAGACCCAATGCAATACAATTCCCCCCGCGAATGCTTCTGACGGGGTTGACGTTTACCTTGCACAGTGAAATTTACGACTCAATAAGTCCGCGTTGATAAACGCAAAGAGGCTTGTACATTACAACCAGGCGCAGAATCAACAGTCTCTCATGTAACTACGTCTCTAAACAAGATCATGAGACCATCAGAACTGATGAATCTGTTTGCAATATATCATATAGATTGAATTGCTCTAAATGCAGGAAAGTGTATCGTGCATGTACACAATTGCAAAAAGTGTAATGTGTGCCTACACAAAAGCACATTGTTTGTCGTCAAGATCAAGTGTTCTATAGCTCACCTAAAAATTACGTCTCAATGCATTTGTGTCATTCCAGGATAAGAAGTAAACAATCTAAACTATACTGTACAGTTGATCTAGTCTTACTTATCATCTTAGCTTGCCAATTTAACGACGGCCAGTATGAAATTTCCATAAAATAAACATGAAGATGGCTTGAAAAACCGCGACGAATCCCAAAAGATACATCATATCCCGCATCACATCCACGTTCTCCATACCGTAACGAGTTAATATTGCCTTTCCTCTTTCAGTTGTCGAATTTTCAAATTGCTTGTAGACAAAAGACTCAAACGAGTACGAGTGAAATGCAAGATAGTAACCCCATTTCCAGTAGCTCGGAATTGAGTCACGAGGGACCATAAAGCCCTCACAGAGCATAAACATCCCAAACACACCGGCACCTAAAGCAATACCAATGATGTAGTGAGGAACAGCTGCACCAATAACGTGCATCATCGATTCAGCGACAACAAGTGACAAGAAAAGATTCAGCAGAAATAACTCAATCGAGTTTAAATCTGCCAGCAATACCACGAGAGCTGTTGACATCACTGCAATCAAAAAAATACCCGGTAATGCTGCAAGAAAGTTGGCACAGACATAACTCACTACACTGAGCGAACTATTAGCTCGTTCCCGAGCAAATACTGCACGCTGTTCGATAAAACTTGGGAGTACAGCCACTGACATAAATACCAGAAATGCTTGTACGTAAAAGAGCATTGGAACCAAATCTTCATCTGTCAAGTCGTTGTTCGTGCTTAAGTACATTGTACCCACCATAAAACTAAGACAGAAATACATCAACAATCGAATCCAGTAAATGCCTGGATTTCGAAAATTGTTAAGTGTGTTGCGATACATGAGCACACTAAATTGACGTAAAGCTGACGAAGGTCGAAGCTCAATGTCAGGTAGATGTATCATGTGGATTCGATCGGCCAACAATTGATCAACTAGTTGTTTCTTAACACTTCCTTGACTATATGCACACACGAGTTTTGTCACATCCACATGGTCTTCAAAGTCTGTATTGACCAGATTCACATAGTACTCGGCTGGATTCATGTACTTGGGACAATTAAATCCAACTGAGGCAAAATGTGATATCATATTAACGCGAGAGCCACAGTACACAGTTTGTCCCAGTGATAAGATAATAACATTAGTAAACATGTCGTAGACTAGGGACGAAGGCTGGTGAATCGTGCACAAGACGTTCTTGCCTTCACCACATAGCTTTAGAATATACTTCATGACATTGTGGGCTGAGCTTGAGTCAAGACCACTAGTAGGTTCATCTAAGATCAAAATGCTCGGGTTCGACAGCAATTCGATCCCAATACTCAGTCGACGCTTTTGACCACCCGATAAGCCTTTACGAAATATATCACCAACCAAAGTGTTCCTACATGCACCAAGTCCCATGGCTTCAACAACACTCTCGACTCGAGTGTGAATATCCGTCATAACAATCGTATGAGGTAAACTAAGTCGTGCTGCCATTTTCATGGTCTCGATAACAGTAAAAGACCCTAGTAGCGAATCTTCTTGTGCCACGTAACTCGTGACAGCCCGAAACGTTTTTGTTACGCGTTCAATACCGTTCAACTCAATCGTACCAGTTAAATGACCCGAACTAATTCGATCGGCCAATAGATCGACCAAAGTCGTTTTGCCAGACCCAGATGGACCCATAATCGCCGTAAGTTCTCCTGGTGCGCTACGGCCACTGACTTTGTCAAGAATCATTTTATGTCCGTGTGGATTTTTACTCGTCTTTCGACTTGATACGGCGTAGCTTAGATCGCTCCAACTTAAGACGCATGGATTCAAAATGTCGTCATACTTATTCGCCCCATTCCGACTGGACAGACCAGGATCAGTCGAATGTTCCGACACAACATTAAAAACATTACGACCATTTTCAAGGTTATATCCACTTTCATGGTTTGAGCGTTCAAGTATAGGAGGCGATAGTTCTGGCAAGTTCGTGTACGCTACAGCTGGTGATGTCGCCATTCTGAAACTTGAAAAGTGAGTCGACTACGGTGCAGTAAAAATAAAACGTCCGTCATTATTTTTATACATGTCAATTATAGCATCGAAGCTCAAATCGATTGTGATCATCGTAAAGACGGTCACCCTATAACAAAGACCGATAGGTTTGATTTAAGTATTGAGCTGAATTCGAATAAGCATTTGTTCAAATGGGTTCAATCTTTTTCTAGTTCATAGACTTTACATCGTCTCCTTCGACAAGCTCAAGTGCATTCGTTTGATCACCTTGAAGCGACAAGAGTGATTCTTGAGGGTCATTTGATTAAGACGCGGTGAGAATTGATATGGTGACGTAAATGTAAGAAGTTTTCGATAAAGAAGATTTAATAGCGAAAGAAAGATTGGTATTGAAATATAGTTATCAGTAACACAAAAGTCACGCGTATCTATTAACACTAAGATGCCCAACAAGTTGCGTCAATCGAATCTATAATGTCCTAATATATTTGTGGGATGTAGACTTTTCGTGGCGGTTGCAGGTGTAATTGTCCATATACTGACTCTTTAACTCGACAGAAAGAATGGAGATGACCAAGAGAGTGTAAGGTTCTACTTTTCTTCGATGTGCCATGAGGTTTGTGTCCTGACAGTATAGAGTGTAGAACGATGCCTCAAAGTATCGAGTTTTTGATCAAAATAGAGTAGAAAGTATCAGGAGTTTACGCGTTTTCAGTTTGACGAATCTAATCTTCACAGGTAAAAGTTTCAGCAGCCGATCGTACTAGGAGAAACCAGGGCCATCGAGGGTCTATCTGCTTCCTGGACGTCGTTAGTAGCCATGCATACCGACAGTGTTAGCTCTGGTGACGTATCTAGTGTGATGAACGTCACTCTACGATGCTCAAAAATCCACCAGTTACTTGAGCCCCTTTTTAGTGCATGAAGTCATGCGAATGACAGTTTAGGCTCAGTGTGGCGAGTGTGATCTTGTACAAAATCAGAATGTGTCATGGACGTGTAAGAATCTGGTCGTAATGGCTTGTCGGATAGTCAGAAGTGCCATTTATGTGCTCACCATCAAGTTCTTACAGCATAATCTCAATCAATTTTTCCTGATGAAACTATAAAAGCTTCAGCGTTATTGAATTACATTACACGATTCAAACACACTACATGTCGTCAGGTTAGTTGTCTGATCGGAATCAAAATCCTTGAACATGGCACTCAGCTTGCATATTACACCAGGTTTAGTTGAGTTATGCTCATATATTGTTGTCAAATTCAAGTAAATTTAGTTAAGCTAATATTTTGTTGTCAAATTCAGGTAAATTTATCATGGTCGCGACAACGAGATTAAAATCTAATTAAATTTGTATTGAAAATATTTTCCACGATAAATACAGTGTCATGTTGGATAGATCCTCGTTACTGGTCACGAGCCAAGATAGACGCTTTGCATCGAACGGATATGGCTGTCCATAGCTTCTCATGTGTATTTGTCTGGGATTCGTTTATAAACGGGTAAAATCACTTATCTGAGCTCGAACAACGATTTGTCAAAAGAAGATCTCATCCGCGTTCTAAAGCTGCTACAACATAAAGGCGAAAGGCCCTATTTTTATCAGCTCGAAGTCGAATCACAAAAGACCGTAAAGTAATGCTAATTATGTCCGAGGAATAGCTGCACCGCTAACGTGCATTGACTTGGCGACGGCTTCCGGATTTCTCAGCTCCTGCATAAGTGACCAGCACTCTCTGGACCAGCCAGTCAGCAAAACGCTGTGCGCCGCTTTTCTCCCGGTTGCCACGTGTTTTACCGGAAGTCGCCTATACCTTATAGAAATGTAGTAGCGTGGCGGCAGTGTGCAGGACCTTAAGGGAGAGCAGACCGACCGCACCCGGGGACATCAGCGCCAACAGAACATTCCATCTTCCGGCGATATCAACTTGCTTTAGTCGTCGCATGGGTGTCCTCGCTCGATTTATTCAGAAAACTCCTCTCCAGCGTTCATTGGCGGTCGAGTTCTCATCTTTGGCTCACCGCTGCCAGGAAGACGCTCTAATTTCCAGGTTGGAAGGCCGCTAGCGTGCTTTTTAGGCAAAAACCTCCTCTTTTCCTGGATGTCATTCAGCGCAATGACGAAATTCGTCTTCCAATACATCAGCGTCGTGCCCCCCGGGAGTCTACACATGCTGGGAACTAACCCGAAGTCTGTGGTTTGTCTCCGGAACGCATCTTTATCTAAAATGCGATTTTCATTTACAGCCGCCACATATTCAAGCTTTCCGTATCAGGCGCAGATTCACAACCGACGCTTAAAGAAACAATTGTTGGTGGGCGAGAATCGCAGTGATTCTCCGAGTTCTGACCAAACACTTCTGCCCTCGCCCGGCAGCTAATGGCCAAGCTGATCCCGAGGCGCAAACGCTCACTGCGTTCACCCTCTCCACCACACTGGTCTTATGTTGCAGGCCTGCTGTGAAGCTCACGACGGCTTCCAGCTGGTCCCTAACGAGTGGAGTCTGGCTCAATTAGCCAGATTATGGCAACTGCAATCGCGATAGTCACGCTGACTCATGCCCAAATTTGCTCGCTCGCCGTGCTTACCAATGAAGCAATCGAGAAAGAGAATTTCTGCGATGAAGCCGTTTTTGTCAAATATGTATTTATACCCATATACCCGAGCACCGCTCGCAAGCGCTTAAAGTGGTTCTCCATATTTAATTTACCGTGCTCGACTCGACTACGGACGGATACATCGTCAAATAGTAATTGTGCATTGCCTCGATGTGGTCTGCACAGTTGCGTTACCAAACCATTGAGCGATACTGGTGCATAGACAGTTCTTCTCCCATAAACAGCTACGCTAAAGCATTCCGCTCAAAGCACTCTCCGCAGTGATGAGGGCATCATTACTTCCTGTCACAATGTTTTTTAAACCACCCGATAGGTCGAGCGCACTGGACAAAGTGCGGCTGACAATGCTGTTCTGCAGCAAACCTTTTTTACGAATGGACTTTACGACGTATTAATAATTTCATTTATTTTGCTGGTGGAATGCACAATTTAATATGCCATATTCGCCGCCAAGTGTCAAGTGTTCAATATAACATTAGCAAACATGCATGGTGCTTTGGACGGCTATGACGTCACACTGTTTTCTTGATAAAGACCATTGTCGTTCTTGATCTCGAACAGCGCGTTACCGGGACGGCTAAGACGTCACACTGTTTTCTTGATAAAGACTATTGTCGTTCTTGATCTCGCACAGCGCGTTACCGAACATGACGTGATGCACTTTTGCGAGAGAGAGTGTGAAGTAATATTGGGCCCCGGGAGTCAAGTCAATTTTATGATGCAAACCCCTATCTGAAGCTACCACGCGTAGGGTTTTATTCACGTCGTTGTATATCATCATCAAAGGGTTAAAAGGATGCGCAAGCTCCGTCGCTTGATGAACGAACATCGTATCCGTGTTTACCGGTTTCATTGCCGCCGCGTACTGTATGCCGTTTTCGACAGTTGCGCGTCCTACGTAATTGCATAGCTCCCCTGAATAATCAGACATCTCGCGATTCATAGATTCCGAAAGGCTGACTCCAGCAACCCTGGAGCCTAACTTCCACCTAGCTATAGTTAAGGGATGTATTTCAGTGACTACGACCTACAATAGGTACAATAAACCTATTATTTCCTAGTATTCCGCCCTACACCTGCCGAGTGCGAGGATTTTGCCAGTCGCTCTTGCATATGAGCTGGAACCTTCGTCCCTTTCAGCCAAGAGCAAAGATAGCACGCAAGCCCGAGGCATTTTGAAGACCTACAGATGAAATATCTCTGTATAAGCACATATCTGATACGTGTAAACAGGTAACCTCGCGCCGCGAGTACTGACACACTTGATCAGTCTGCTCAGTTCAGCAAAGTATTAGTTTTTTTACATGGACTTCATTTTGGAATATCCAAAAATCGAGTGATAGTGATGCCGACATTGTGGTCTTTGTGAATTATATGATAAAAAAGGCTCATCTCTCCGCTATTAACGACACTATTACCGGTGATGATACAACCAGGCTACACATCAACAAAAGTTTTTGTAAACAATCTTTTCCGGCGGCCATTGTGGCAAATTGAAAATCTGCTCTTTCCAACGCAGTTTTGATGATCATTGAACAAGCTGGAGTGAACCAGATTTCGCATATTCATCTTTGAGCATCCACAGACAGGTGCCTTGGGGGAATGCGTTTGTTGAGTGGAGGTGCTACATATCCTTAAAATCCCTTGTGTGGGGAGACTGCGGTGCTGGGGACAACCCCTCCAATTTTTTGCATTTACGTAAAATCAAACTGTGCATGCCTCTATAGACTTAGGTACATTTAATACATGGTTTTATCAACCACACTATGACATTCGGTCAGGGTGTTGCTGTCGATACAAGTTAACTTAAACTTGTCAGCCTTGCAACACTTTGTAACAAAATCGACAGTCGTGTTTTCAAGAAGTAAAAACGTCTTTCGAAACCTGAGCGGAACAATGGTGGGTATCTAAGACACACGATGAATCATGCTTGCCAAAGTCGGAAAGATAGTTAAGATTCTGATGCAAAAATTCAACACAGTTAATTTGCTGCACCTGAAACGTATGCCGTCTCTATGATATAATTGCACCTTCGCCATATTTGCCTCTTGAGGTCGTAGATTCCGAGATGAAGCAAAAAATATCTCTTTTTGGCTGCATTCTTGCGCAGGGTTCACTGGTGTCGAGATCGCAGATGCGATTATGATTTCGTTTGCAGTATGACCACATTTATGACGTCTCTGCTTCCTTAATCCATAGGAAAAAAATTATCGTCTCTCCCACCGAAGGATGGACAGCTCAACACTAGCGACTTGAGCCAGTTACGCTGCACTGGCGATTGGTCGAGATCCATCGAAAAATGATTAATCCACGCGTTCTCGGACCTAGTGAGTGCCTTCAGGCTCTTCATCATTGTTTCCGGTCTTTTGATTGACAAGAATGCCAATTTCTCACTTCAAACAAAGCATGTCTAGGTATTTCGAGGGTCAACTAGTCGAGAATTTTTTGTTCCATCCTCGCAGGGGACAAATTTTTTTCACGACTCAGTCGTGGGATTGACTGCAAGTGCTACCAGGTGCAACAACGTTCTAGCGCTCTTTGAGGAAGCTTTGGTTCAGTGAGTCCGCGCTGATACACACGCAGATATTGATTCAGGAGCGTAAGCGAGATAATGTAAACGAATAAAGGACTTACTATTTAAAGCGTGAACATTAAATTCTATCAAATTTACGTAACGCTACATTTGAAAAACTAAGCAAAAATCCGAAATTGTATATTTCACCACAACTACACAAATCTCATAACTAACGACGCCCTGTGTGAAATTTCCACAAAAGAATAGCAAAAGTAATCTGAAAAACTAGAATATACAAAACGAGGAAAGCCATATTTCGTAAGACATTGACGTCTTCCATGCCATATTTCATCAAAATGCCTCGAGCTGCATCTGATGTTTCATTTTCAAACTGTTTAAAGACAAAAGACTCGAATGAATAGGAATGAAATGCAAGATAATAACCAAACTTCCAATAAGTCGGAATTGAAGCAGAAGGAATCATAAATCCTTCACATAACATAAACATTCCAAACACACCCGCACCAAGTGCAATTCCAATGATATAATGAGGAACAGCAGCACCAATGACATGCATCATTGATTCCGAAACGACGAGTGAAAGAAAAAGATTCAGCAAAAAATACACAAATGCGTTCAAATCCGCTAGTAAAACCACAAGAGTCGTTGACATCACTGCAATCAAGAAGATACCCGGCAATGTTGCTAGAAAGTTAGCACATACATAGCTGAGGACATTTAACGAGCTATTGGCCCGTTCTCGAGCAAATACTGCACGTTGTTCGATAAAAAATGGAAGTACTGCCACAGACATAAACACAAGAAATGCTTGAACGTAGAAAAGTAGTGGAACTAAATCTTCTTCGGAAAGCTCATTGTTTGTACTCAAGTACATTGTACCCACCATGAAGCTAAGACAGAAATACATGAACAATCGAATCCAATAGATACCAGGATTTCGAATATTGTTTAATGTGTTGCGATACATGAGCACATGAAATTGGCGCAATGAAGACGGCAATGGCTTTTCAATATGTGGTAATCCATGTAATGTCTTGTGGTCACTTTCGATGCGAGTACTTACTTCTTTGCAAATTTCACTCTGTTCGTACAATTGTACAAGTTTCGGCACGTCGGCATGATTCTCAAAGTCTGTATTGACAAGACTAATGAAATATTCAGCTGGATTCATATACATAGGACATTCGTAACCAACAGATGCAAAGTGTGGAATCATCAAGCGACGTGGACCACAGTATACATTCTGACCTGCTGATAACACGATAACGTTCGAAAAGAGTTCGTAGACTAGCGATGATGGTTGATGGATTGTACATATCACCGTTTTACCTTCAGTACATAACTGAGCTATAAACTTCATCACGTTATATGTCGCACTTGAGTCCAAACCACTTGTAGGTTCATCTAAAATCAAAATACTTGGATTTGATAATAATTCAATTGCAATACTAAGACGTCGCTTTTGACCACCAGACAATCCCTTTCGAAAAATATCACCAACTAATGTATGACGACAAGTGGTCAATCCCATAGCTTCAATAACTTCATTTACACGAGTTTCAATCTGTGTAACTAAAATCTTGTTGGGCAAACTCAATTTTGCAGCCATAGACATTGTTTCTTGTACTGTAAATGATCCAAGTAATGAATCTTCTTGAGCCACGTAGCTAGTTAAAGCCCGAAAAGTTGTCGAGATACGATCAGTACCATTTAATTCAATCTCACCCGTCATTTCTCCTGAACTTATTCGATCAGCTAATAGATCAGCAAGTGTTGTTTTACCCGAACCGGATGGACCCATAATAGCTGTGAGTTCACCTGGTGCACACCGTCCAGTAACATTGTTAAGGATGAGTTTTCTATCCTTTCTTGTCTTGACGGCGTAAGTGAGATTCTTCCAACTAAGTACGCACGGATTAACAGTAGGATGATATAAAGGCTCAGTTTTGTCACTAGCTTCAAGTGAATCAACAGACAAATATGGCGTCAAGTGTCGGGACGTCATGATGAAAATGATGAAGGGAGTCGTTGAAGAAAGACAAAGTGGTGGGAGTACCACATGTGAATGGTCGATAGATTGTGAAGTAACAGATGGAGAATGACGTCAGTATGTAGTGAAGACGAGAAGATGCACATCATTTGATCAATACTTGAGCATACTGTCTTTTCACGACTTTAACGGTCTTTTAAACGCCTTGTTGAAAACCTATCCCATTCACTTTTTATGCATAGAGATATGAAACTTGACGTAGGTACCGGTGGTTACTGTGGCGATATAAACCGACATGATAACCCCGTTTTTATATAAATGGATTGTACACATGTACGACTAAAGAAGTCAGTGAGTATGTTGCTACAGCAACTTTTCATTAATTTATGAATACTATTAAAAGTATTGTCATAAGTTAAGAATTTGGTAGAGAAAGTCTAGGCATATCTTGTAACTAGCCACATTTTCTTGCGTCAATCGCCAACGATGTGTTCTTTATCTCAATTTAAGTGACGCAAGTCAATACATCAACGCTTATGTACGCTCTACTTGAAGAACACCAGTCAGTGTAATATCTAGAGTCATAAGACACGCTATACTAGGCGGATATGAAGAAGAAGAAATTGATGATGAAGAACTTGATGAATGATGAGGTATCCTCGGAAGACTCGAAG